CGTCCCAGGCCCATCCTCCGGAGGGCGGAGGCGCCCCCGCAGCCCGACGCTCTCGCGGCAACCCTGCGTGCCTTAGGGTTGTAGCCTTGTTGGAAAATAAAATACAAAAAAAAAATTAAAATTACCTGCAACCCTACAACCCTGTGTCTAGGGTTATAATTTTAATTTATGTTTTTTTCCCAACTTTTGCACAGTGAAAAATTAAAAAGCGAGCTTTTTTTTTTTGGAGACAAGAGCCTTACTGTGTCGCCCAGGCTGGAGTGCAGTGGCGTGATTCTCCTGCCTCAGCCTCCCGAGTAGCTGTGATTACGGGTGCCCGCCACCAAGCCCAGCTAAATTTTGTAGTTTTAGTAGAGACGGTGTTTCTCCATGTTGGCCAGGCTGGTCTCGAACTCCTGACGTGTGGTGATCTGCCCGCCTCGGCTTCCCAAAGTACTGGGATTACAGACTCACGTGAGCCACTGGACCCGGCCGACACCCGCTTTTAACAGCAGAAACCATCCCGGTGAAGAAAACACCCAAGCCTGACAAGGGTGCGGGGAGAGCTACCCCTCTTACGAAGCTGGGAGAACGGTCAAATGCAAAACCGTGGAAAGCAACCTGACAATACTGCTACCCCAAGGAAGGAATCCCTTCACCCAGGTGATTTACTATTCGTTCCCTAGTGTTCCCTGAAGTATACCAGGAAGAAATGGAAATCAGTGTTCTAAAGGACGGCACGGACCCTTACGCAGTTCTATCAGCAAGAACTTGAGTTTGAAGTGACACCCTGCTGTGGAGAGGCAAGGTTACAAAATTACAGTACGTCGTTTGAATTCTGTGACACCGGCATTATTTTCTGGGGGGTGTGTGTGTGTGTGTGGCTAAGGTTGTAGGTAATGCTAATTTTTAAATTTTCTCCAACTCTTGTACAGTAAGTAGTTATCAGAAAAAAAAAAAAATTGAGAGACAATATGCCAATAGACAATGGTCGGATAACGAATGACATGAAACTGCAGCCTCTGCAGTAACCGGGCAGTCGGCTGTGTGGGAAGGATGTAGTCAGGACTGCTTGCTCCTCTATTTTCTGTACCACCCTCCCCATGTCAGAGCCAACCCACGAAAGAGGAATACGCTCCCCAAGCCAGTCACAGAAAACATCCTGCTTGTTAGCTCACCTCCAGTTTCCAACAGCCTGCAGTCAGAACCACCTGGAGCCTTCCCTGTTTTCCATCCCCTGGCCCTTGCGCCTGCCCACACCTGTGATGTCTCTGACTCCCTTGCTGGAGCAAGCCGTGAATACTGTTTCTCATTTGGGTGGTCTTCCTTCATTTCTACGTTTGAGTTATTGTAGCTGAGAACAGAAGGAAGGCATCTGCAAAAAATGTTTTATGCTTAATGAAAAGAGTACAATAAACATTTCATATATGACATCAGTTAAACTCTGAAAAAAATACAGAATGAATACCAAAACACTGAGGAGTAATCTGTAGCACTAGGAAAAATTGTTTTTCTACTTTTCTGTATATTTTTCTCCTTTTGGCAATAAACCTGTAATCCTTTAAGAATTCATGTGTTGTGGCCGGGCGCGGTGGCTCAAGCCTGTAATCCCAGCACTTTGGGAGGCCAAGACGGGCGGATCACGAGGTCAGGAGATCGAGACCATCCTGGCTAACACGGTGAAACCCTGTCTCTTCTTAAAAAATACAAAAAAACTAGCCGGTCGAGGTGGCGGGCGCCTGTAGTCCCAGCTACTCCGGAGGCTGAGGCAGGAGAATAGCGTGAACCCGGGAGGCGGAGCTTGCAGTGAGCTGAGATCCAGCCACTGCATTCCAGCCTGGGCGACAGAGCAAGGCTCCGTCTCAAAAAAAAAAAGAATTCATGTGTATAGTCTTTTTCTTGGAATTAGAATGATTTGATGAGTGGTTTGATAGAACTTGTATTACTTGGTAAGCAGTTTTTAAATATTCATGTTTACTTATAAAATTTAAATTTTTTATTTGTATTATCTATATATTATTTAATGTTACTGTTCTGGTTGTTAAACATTTTGAGTTATCTTCCCAGGTTGAATGATTTATGGATGAAAGCACTATTGTACATTTTTGTACATTGTATCATGTGACTAGGCCAGATTCCTCTTTTCTGTCCTTTGGTTTAATTTCTTTGGTGTATTCACAAGCTTATACTTCCACATATTAAAAACATTTTTATCTTACCTCTGTAAAGACAAAAAATGGAAAAAAAAAAAGGCATTTATCCAAATTCCAAGTTATTCAAATCTGATTGAATACAATCAATGTAAGACTTAAAATTGCCAAATGTGTGGGGTTATTATATCTTAACTATGGCCAAGAACAGTCTTTTTGGTATAAATAATTTGAAATTATTTTATGGTAGTTTGTGTAAATACTAGAAAGGAAATTAAAGCCAGGCATGGTGATTCATGCCTGTAGTCCCAGCTACTAGGGAGGCTGCGGCAGGAGGATCACTTCAGGCCAAGAGTTTGAGGCTGCAGTGAGCTACGGTCATGCCACAGCACTCCAGTCTGTCTCTAAAACAAACAAATAAGCAGGCTGGGCACGGTGGCTCACGGCTGTAATCCCAGCACTTTGGGAGGCCGAGGTGGGTGGTCAGGAGTTTGAGACCAGCCTGGCCAACATGGTGAAACCCCGTCTCTAGTAAAAATGCAAAAATTAGCTGGGCTTGGTGGCGCATGCTTGTAGTCCCAGCTGCTTGGGAGGCTGAGGCCAAAGAATTGCTTGAACCCAGGAGGCAGAGGTTGCAGTGAGCCCAGATCGCGCCACTCCACTCCAGGCTGGGCAACAGAGCAAGAGTCGGTCTTTAAAAAAAAAGCAAAGCTACTTAATTAAAACAAAACCAGCAGCCACAGAGATATACAATAGTACCTCTTGAGTTTCACCTTCTGCAGCTTTAGTTACCCTGAGTCAACAGCCACCTGGAAGAGATGAGTACACAGTACAAGAAGATATTGTGAGACAGACCACATTTACAACTTTCATTATAGTATAACCGTTACATTTTATTATTGTTAATCTCTTAAGGTGCCTAATTCATAAACTTAGTCACAGGTATGTATGTATAGGAAAAAACAGTATATATAAGGTTTGTTATCTGTGGTTTTAGGCATCCACTGGGGGTCTGGGACTGTGTCCCCCGTGGATAAGAGGGTAACTGCTGTATCTTTTAGTAGAAGCAAGAGTAGCCCCATGTGGGGGCAAACACTGGACACCGGTCAGTTTCAGCTCCTCCTGCAAAGTGAGGGTATCCTTGTGGCTCAGCCCCGGGGCCCCCTCTGGTCACCTGTGGCTCCACAGTCTGGTTCTTGAACCCAAGGGCAGACAGCTTGCTACAGCCCAGGCCTGAGGATGCACTTCCTTCACCAGGACCCATGACCCCTGCCCACAGACCTGTGGAGCTCAGGGCATCCTCTGATGCAGGTTGGTCAGGACCTGCCCTGCCTGCACCAACAGGTTCTGCTTCTCCATCTGACCTGGCAGGCCTTGCACTCTTCCACCCCCTGCAGAGGACTAGGTGTCTTGAACTTCCAGAACGCAGCCAGGGCCCTGTACTTGGCCTGGGGAGAAGTTGGGAGGCCTAAGCAGTGGTTGGGGGCCACAGCAAGGCATTGCACACAGTGTGGGTTTTCTTTCTTTCAGGGATTTATTAAGGCATTGAGCACAGTGTAATCTCTAGCCAAGTGAAATGAATCCAGGGAAATATATCAGGACCTGAGGGATGTGCTTTTAAAGTTACTGGAAAGGATGATGAGCTGAGAACGTGTGTACAGCCACGCCTAAGCCCAGCGACCACTCTGTGCGGTAAACGTGGTCTGTCCATGTTCCTCAGTCAGGAGGTTCAGGCTCCCGGAGGGCACCTGAGGGTTCCATCACTTTGCTGCCCAACAAGCACATGCCCCCCACCTGGTGCCAAGCGGCAGGAAAGACCCCTGCACCACACAGCTGCAGGAGAGCATCCACGGATGGAGGGACTCAGCTGGCCTGGCCACAGTGCGGGCACGGAGGTATGAGGCAAGCAAGGGCAGATCTGAGAGCCTCTAACACTAAGCGTGTGCAGCTGGTGCAAGGCGTGCTCCCAGCGGGTGTAAGGAAGGTGGGAGCCACAGCCTCTTCCTGGGCCCAGAAGCAGCCGGCGCCAGGAGATGCAGGCCCAGGGAATCTGTCTAAGGCAGCTGGGTCTGCACCAGCCTTCTTTCCATTCACAACTCACTGCTCCTGGGAGAGCAGGAGGGGCACACCTTTCAAGAGAAACTGATAAGGGAGGAAAGGCAGGAGATGAGGCCAGTTCCACCAATGACACCTCGGGCCAGGCCTCACTGCTGCAGGCCTCAGCTGGAAGCTCCGGGCTGCTCATGGTCACTGGCGGTGCTGAACTGTCTCTCCACTTTCTTCTGGTCCTTGATCTTGAGTCCAATGTCCACTCTCTTCTCAAAGAAGTTCACCAGCACGGACTCCGTCAGAATGGAGGCCAGGATCTGCTCGAAGGAGATGCACCAGTCGGTGTCAACGGTGCCCCCGATGCGGGCTGTGGGGCTGTAGGCCTCCCCTCCCACCAGCACCGTGTCGTCTGCGAGGTCTTCACACTGCAGGGAGCCCGTGCTGACCACCGAGTACGAGGACATGGACATGTCGTCTTTGGTTTCATCGTCAGACAGCAGCTGGGAGGGTGAGCCCTGTCCCTCGCCGCTGCCCCCCTCCACCACCACCTGGCTCTCCTGTGGGGCTTTCCCGAGGTGTGTGTCTCCGCCGGCTTTGGCTTGGGGGTCTCCTGCAGCTGGGGGCTGAAGCTCCCTGGCTGCGTCCTGATGGGGTCCGGGTGCTGGTGGCTCGTCCTCCTCAGTGGCACAGTCCCTGGGCTTCCTGCCTGTGCGGGCCGAGAACTTCTTCCCCACCTCTCCGATGCGGAGCAGGAGGCTGGCCACGGTGGCGATGGCGTGGTACAGGTCCTGCTCCATGGGGTCTTCACTGAACATGTTGTAAAGCGTCTTGCACAGCTCAATGAACTGCTCCTTTTAAGGAGAAAAACAGAAGAACAGGGAGATGGTAAAAGACCAGTCAGACGGGGTCCATATTAGCCAAACTGATGACAAGGGACAGCCTAAGGATGTTGGCTGCCATCTTGTTAATCATCTCCACGAGCCTCATCAGTCCATCTCATAGCTCAGGACACAGGCTCAGAGAGGGAGAGTGGCTCGACCAAGGCCACACAGCTCTTCAAAAGGCTTTCCCCTCTAGCTGCCTTTCTCGGCACGTAGAGGGTGCCGGTCTGACCTGGAGCCTCCCTGTTTCTAGGTCTGTTCTGTTGGCACAGGGAGATGGATTTCTACGACGACTCTAAATCCAGTCAGTACAAGGACTTCTCCGTTGTGTTTTAGAATCACCTTTGGCTTTAATCAGAAGCAACCTCAACTCAGCCCTTGAATGAAGCTCTTTATTTTTTTTCTTTTTTCTTTTTTTTTTCCTTTTTGTGGAGAACAGGGTCTCGCTATATTACCCAGGCAGGTCTCGAACTCCTGGGCTCAAGCTATCCTCCCGCCTCTGCCTCCCTGAGAGCTGGGATTACAGGCGTGAGCCACCGCGCCCGGCCTATTTTTTATTTTTTCTTGAGACAGAGTCTCGCTCTGTCGCCCAGGCTGGAGTGCAGTGGCTGGACCTCGGCTCACTGCAAGTTCTGCCTCCTGGGTTCACGCCATTCTCCTGCCTCAGCCTCCCGAGTAGCTGGGACTACAGACGCCCGCCACCTCACCTGGCTAGTTTTTTTGTATTTTTTTTAGTAGAGACGGGGTTTCACCATGTTAGCCAGGATGATCTCCATCTCCTGACCTCGTGATCTGCCCGTCTCGGCCTCCCAAAGTGCTGGGATTACAGGCTTGAGCCACTGTGCCCGGCCAAATGAAGCTCTTTAGAAGGTGATGGTGAGGAAAGTACAGCCTGGGTCAGCTGGGGAGGGGGGTCCTGACGATGGTGGGTGCTAGGTCCTTAAGCCACACATCTAGGTCCCCTGGCTCAAGAATGGGAAGAATCCTCATCACACGTGGTGCCCACTGTCCAGGCCTGCCGGGGGACTGGTCAGACTGCAGGGTCTCCTACTAGGCACAGCTAGGCTGTGGGTCTGGCCCAAGGGCCATGGTCAGGCTGGTGCTCCGGACTTGCCTTTGGCTCAACACTTGCAGTTTGAAGCTGGGGTCTCCCATTTTCTGGCTGTGAGACCCTTGGCAAGACACCACGCTCCTGACCTGCGAGACCAGTGAATGAAGAGTGGGTGTGGAGGGTGCATGTGAGCCTGCGTGTGCAGAGCCCTGGGCAGCGCTGGGAGGGTGCAGGGCGTGGAACGCATTCTTGTCAAAGGTAGCCTACGAGCCTCTGGCTCCTGGTTCACGGACGCTCCCTCAATCTGGACAGCGGTCACCATGGAAACATGCCCCTGTACAAGGCCCTGGAGCAACTGGCCTCCTGTCTTTCTGGAACCATCACTGACTGGCAACTAGGACTAACGGGTTCTAGAGGCAGGGAGGAGCCTTCCCACCCACCAGGAGATGCTGCATTGTGGGTGCTGTGATATGAGGGCCCAGTCTTGGTCAGAACTCTCCAGAAATGTCTATTGTGGGCTCTGATGGAGCCTACCTGGTTCATCTTGGGAAGATCCTTAATCGTCTCCTTCTGAGCCTCTTTCTCCTTGGCCCACATTCGAAGGTAGTGCCGATAGTCCGGAGAGCTGGTCCCCTTCTCCTCTGCGGGTTAGGAGGAAAGAGATTCATCTTCGTCATGTGAGAGAGAGGGCTGGGGGCTGACGGCAGGGAGAGGAGGGCGGGTGTCTTCCGCATGGAGCTACCGCAGCCTGTTACAAAACACCCTGGCATTTGGGAAGGCGGTCATGGGAAAACCACCCACAACAGCCACAGGTTTCTCCTAAATTGCTGAAGTGGTTGGACCGAAGCTGGTGACAGTGGTCCACACTGTCTTTCCTCGGATGAGGAGTCCCAGGGCAGCTGGAGAGAAGCTGGCAAGAGGGTGGGGCTGGCTGGGTGCCCGCGGGGCTGGTGGAGAGCGCAGAGCCTCCTGTGCACCCCGAGGCCTGCTCCCTGATCAGGGGACGCATCCGCCATCTCCCAGGGTAGGGGGCTCCCTGGCAGTGACTGGGGAAAAGACCAGCCAGCAAGAGTGCCTCCACGCTGGGGTCTCTAAGAACAGCAGCAGAGAATGGCCTGTACCTCCTCTCTTTTCCTGGACGTCCTCACCGCCACTTCCTTCTTGCTCTTCCTGTGGTAGTGTTTCTGGACCAACGCAAAAATAAAAAGAACATGGAGAACATTCTGCTGTTGGGACTGCAAGCTCCTGGGGTCCTTGAGAGATGTAGTCTGTGTTTCTGTACAGCCCGCCCCAGGCCAGGCCCTGGGGGCAGGTCCCCCATGCCACGCCTCCTGCCTGGCCCGCCCCGCCCCGCCCCGCCCTAAGGCACCACAGCAAGGGCCTGAGCATTCCCGCACTTGGTCGGGTTAAAACAAAAGCCGCCAAACGCTCACTTCCTCTTTTCCAAATGAATACAAGTCTCAACATGCTGGTTTTGAAGTGAACAATGATGCGGGCTACAGACCAGTCTGAGGACTAATGAATTCTATAGTTCCTGCTAGAACTCAGGGGAATCCTAGTGACGCCTTCCACCAGTGCCTGCTGTGCCTGTTAGAGGGGTTGTCTGTGCACAGCTCCTGTGCTCAGTGCAGCGTTTCGGGGAGGACTACTCTTGCTGGAGTTGGCGCACACTATACTCCCTGTGTGGGAACATGCACCTGAGGAGGGAAGCAGCCGACCAGCTCTCCTGGAGCTGTTCCCCAGAGGCAGTGTGGCTGGTGGGGGCACCTCAGGCACGTCGGCAGCACCCAGTTCTGAGCTGCTCTTGCTGGCTGTGTGGTGGCAGTGAAGGGCACACCTCCCTGGGCTCAGACATCTCACCCTGGAATGGAAGCCCTGCTTCCTGGGGGCCATGTGCGGTCTGAGGCCAGGGCTCTGCACCACCATGCCGCTCCCAGAAGCATGTGGGACAAGCCTAGAGTGGCCTGCTGGTTCCACGTACAACAGAAGGTGTACCTGCTTCTGTAGTTTCTGTCCTTGAAATCAAGGTCCTCAAGCTCAAGTCAGCCTCTGCCACTGTCACCAGGACTGCCATGGGCACCTTGGTACACACTATTTTTGGTTTTCTGAGTCAGTTCCTTGGTGTGCATTATCCCCCACATGAAATCACCAGGTGGCATTATGGTCAGTTTTGCAAGTGTGCTGCATGTCACCAGCTCGACTGCCCAAGCCCAGGGCCTAGAATGCTCCCATCACCTGGGATCAGATGGTCCCAACAGGCTTTAAACATAGCACAGGGATGACTTCTAACAGGCACTCAACATGCGTGTTTTTCCTTAACAAAAAAAGTGATGTGGAGCATGAAGATTTTTCCTAGGAAAGCATCCACTTTTCTTTCTAGCCTCTACTCAGCCACGCTGTCTTTCACACGCTCCAATAGCATTTTATATTTTTCTACTCACATGAAGACAGAATATCTCTAACATGTGGCTGCAGAGGCCATGCCCTGGGCCTGCTTGGTGCCTAGTGTGGGGGCCTTGTTTACTCCCCACCCACAGCAGACATGGAGGCGGTGCAGAGGAGTGGCTTCGCTCTGGATCCTTCTCAGGACTTATCCCCCACAGGATGAAGTCCCAGAGGGGTCCCTGGGACAAAGAGCTTCCAGGGTTCCTGATAGTGCAGGAGAGTGTCAGGAGGTACAGGGGGCGCCCCTGCCTTCCAGGGACTGACCTTGAGCCTCCCAGGGCAGGAAAAGATCCAGATCTGAGGCCAGAGGAGATGCTGGAAGGGACAGCAGAGGAGAGGCAGAGGGGCAGAGAGGGGAGAAGCCAAGGTCCAGGAAGACAGGAGACACAAGAGAAACAGGAGTGAGGACATCCACAGGGGGCGGCCCCAGCCCCCGCCAGCATGGCAGGGCCCAGCCCATGGTCCCCTGGGGAGAACCCCATGCAGCCTGCTCCCTGAGCCCAGGTGGGACTGCTGGCCACTGCCCGAGCCCCGCAGGAAGGCTGCGGTGGCTGCAGGGTGCTGGCTGGGCACGTCAGGTCCAGTGGCCACTCACCTTCCGAGGAGCTGTCCTCTGTGAAATAATGGGCTGCCTCCAGGGCTGACTCGGCTTCCTCTGGGCTCAGAGCTGTGCCCGGAGAGAAGGCAGAGTGAGGGCAGGAGGAAACAAGGAGATCCCCTCAAAGTTAGTTCCCTCCAGCCCTGGGCAGAGGCTTGCTTTCCCCGCCCACAAGCCTGGCCAGCCCCACCACCTGCCCATTACAGTGCCCAGTAATAGTTTTGATGGTGATGATTGGTTATTTGTTACTTTCCTTTTTTTTTTTTTTTTTTTTGAAAAGAAGTCTTACTTTATCGCTCAGGTTGCACTGCAGTCACATGATCTTGGCTCACTGCAACCTCCGTGTCCTGGGTTCAAGTGATTCTCCTGTCTCAGCCTCCCAAGTAGCTGGGACTACAAGTGCGTACCACCATGCCCAGCTAATTTTTGTATTTTTAGTAGAGACAGGTTTCATCATGTTGGCCAGGCTGGTCTCCAACTCCTGACCTCAAGTGATCCACCTGTCTGGGCCTCCTACCGTGCCCAGCTGCTTTTGTGACTTTTTTTTTTTTTTTTTGAGACAGAGTCTTGCTCTGTGGCCCAGGCTGGAGTGCAGTGGCACCATCTCAGCTCACTGCAAGCTCCACCTCCTGGGTTCACGCCATTCTCCTGCCTCAGCCTCCAGAGTAGCTGGGACTACAGGTGCCCACCACCACGCCCGGCTAATTTTTTGTATTTTTAGTAGAGACAAGGTTTCACTGTGTTAGTCAGGATGGTCTCGATCTCCTGACCTCATGATCTGCCCGCCTCGGCCTCCCAAAGTGCTGGGATGACAGGCGTGAGCCACCGTGCCCAGGTCTCTGCTTTCCTGACTTTTACATTGTATTTGAAAAGGAAATACATATCCCAGGTAAAAATCCAATCAACACAATTAGGAGTCCAGTGAATGGCAGCTGCCCTCCTGTCCCAATGACCATCTGGCCAGTGGACCCTTTGGGGGCGTTTCATGCTTCTATGGGCACACAGAGACCGGCCATGCACAGGCAACTTGCTGCTCTCTCTTTGGGTAGCTCAGAGGTCGTGCTGCGCCGTGTGTGCTGGCCTGCCTCATTCAGTGCAGTCTTTGCTGGAAGTCACCAAGCAGTACCCAGGGTTGCAGATCACATGGTCCTGGGTGATTGTGGCAGGGCATGGGCCGCAGCCCACCAGAGCCCAAGTGTTCTCTGTGTCTGGACAGGACAGGGCAGGGCAGGCTGAGGGGGCTCAGGAGTCTCAGGGTAGCCCCGCATGCTCTCAACCCTGGGACCTAGGCCCAGTGGGGTCTGTCCCACCAGAGCCTCTTTGGTGAGCCAGCCACAAACGAGAACAGCTGTGTCTAGAGCCTTTCGGCTCCGGAGGCACAGAGCAATGGCCTGTCAGCTTTAAAAATCACAGGTCTGGGCCCCATCACAGGCAATCAGGAGAGAATCTTCTCAGGTGAAGCCCAGCCCCAGTACTCTAAAAATCCCCAGGGTCGGTTCTGAGGGCAGCTGCTGACCTCAGATGGCAAGCGACAGCAGGGACCTGGGGGCAGGTCCAGCCAGAGCCGAGCGCCTGGCCCAGGATTTCCACCTGCCTCGCCTTTCTTTCTTTCTATGATGGAGATGACCACTCCTTGGAGCACTGTCCATGCAGCCACCCCTGCTGAGCCCCCAGACAGCCTGTCGCCAATGCAGCCCTACTAGGCTCCAGCACCGCTGAGAGGCCAGAGAGAAGTGGCCCCTCCTCATGGCCATGTGAGGATTCTCCAGCTGAACCTCTGGGAATAAACCCTTAAGAAACTTGACAAATTAATGCAGCAGTTTCAGTTCCAGCCCTGAAGCTCCACTCATGGCCCTCCTCGTGGGTTTTGGGTCCAGCTGCCTCCTCGGTGGGAGTTCTGTTCCCAGTGGTGCCCGGTCACCCATGGGATTCTCCTCCATGTCCTCTCCCAGGCCAAGGCCCTGCTCTTAGACCTCTGTCAGGTGCTCAAGCTCCCGTTCCCTCTCCTCCAATGTGAAACTCCAGCCTGTGGAGCTGCTGTGCCCCCTTAAGGCCCCACAGTCCCACAGAGGCCTGTCCTCTGCAGCTGAACTTCCGGACAAGTGGGAGATCCTGGCTGGGGAGTGGGCGGGAGGCTCTCACCTGGGGGAAGGTGTAGCTTGTAGAGCACCTTGAGCTTCTCTGTCAGGTCCCCGTGGTACATCCCGCCTGTGGAGAAGGCCAGGGAAGGGGCTGGGGCTGGCAAGATGGCTGCAGAGCCCCTTCCACGGGGTACGAGTGGGACCCTCTTCACAGCCTGCGCTGCCCAGCTCCCTCCTGGAGAGGTCACGGGGTGAGTCCCAGGCCTCCTGTCTCCCTGGTGCCCTGCTGGGAAGGCTCAGCCCTTCCCTGGGGCTGGCAGACCAGCTTCTAGCAGCCCCACACTGCATGTGGGAGGGGAGCGGGCAAGGCTCCTGCTGGACCCCCTCTCGGCTCCTGTGGGTAAACTGTTCTTCCCGTATCTAGAGCCAGGGGCACAAGCAGCCCCCTGCTGGCTGCAGTGGGGACAGACAGGAGATGCTGGCATTTGGAAGGCTTCCTGGGAAAGGGTAAGGGAGGGTCGGCCCCTGGGAGGCCCTGCAGGCACTCACTCATCCCCGTCACGAACTCCTTGAAGTTGATCAGCGAGTCCTTGTTTTTGTCCAGGAGCCTGAACATGCGACCTGCCAGCACAGGCGTGTGGGAGCCGCAGGCCCAGGGTGTCAGGCTGGCAAAGAGTTCCCGGAACTGGCTGGCATCAATCCGGTACTGCTCCAGGTAGGGCAGGCTGGGGTCCCGACGGCCGGCCACTGTGTGGCTGCTCCCCCAGTACTGGCTCGCCAGGTGCTTGGCCTGTGGGACACAGTCTGGTGAGATGGCCCAGCTGCTAAGCCTGTGGGTGGAGGGGACCCCTAGGCTGGTGATGTGTCCACCTCCCCCTCCATCCAAGCCTGCGGAGCCCTGGGTTGGTGAGCACTGGCCAGACACCGCAGCACCTCCTGAAAGCTCTCAGGGTATCATCAGTCCCTCGTTAACAGATGGGGAGGGGGTTGGCTGACAGAGTCCTTGGCAGCCTGCAGAGGGCAGAGCTGGTCTGCTGGCCCCAGAGAAGGGCTGAGCCTTCCTGGCAGGGCTCCAGGGAAACAAGAGGCCCGAGGCTTGCTCTCGCTCCTGTGACCTCTCTAGGAGGCAGGCAGAGCTGGCTCAACCGTTGTGACACCAGGGCCACAGTCCAGTGGCCACCTTGAGCACAGAACCTGAGGCAGCTGGAGAGGTGGATGTGAACTGGTAACAAGAACAGAAAGGCAGTCATTCCAACTATCAAGGCTGGGTCTCTTGCTAAAAGCACAAGAGCAAGAAAAATTATCTT